AGCACACATAAACTGACATTCAAGTGGGCAGTACTATCAAAAATGCAAGTAAATGGCTCTGGAAGAGACCCAGCAAAAGAAAACCTTTTGAGGAAAATTCCCCAACAATTCTGTATTGATTTTAAATAAATTGAGTTGATTTTGGGTAACTGAATGTGTATGTAAGAAGTCATTTTGCAAATGATATAGTTATAACTAGATGAATATATAAAGAAGATGTGATATATATATATATATCTCCTGTGCAATATTACTCAGCCCTCAACCATAGAAAAGAAAGAAATTTTGCTAATAGCAACAACCTGGATGGACCTAGAAGGTATTATTCTCCTAAGTTAGAGACAGAAAGACAAATATTGTATGGTTTCACTTATATATGCAATCCAAAAAGAAAACAAATGTACAAATATAACAAAACAAAAACATATTTACAGAAAACAAACAAGCCAGTGGGTCAGGGGTGGAGGGCAGATAGGTGAGGGAGCTTAAGATATACAAACTTACAGTTGCAAAATAAACGAGTCATGGGTCTGAAATGTATAGTATGGGAAATATAGCCAATAAATATGTAATATCTTTGTAGGCCGCCTCATGTATCACAACTTTGCCCTGGCCAAGGGCCTTGTGTAACTCAATGAAGCTATGAGCCATGTCGTGTAGGACAACCCAAGAGAGATGACTCATAGTGAAGAGTTTTCACAAAATATGGTCCACTGGAGAAGGAAACGGCAACCCATTCCAGTATTTTTGCCTGAAGAACCCCATGGACAGCATGAAAAGGCAAAAAGATATGACAGAGCTTAAGAAGAGGTGGCAACAATACACAGAACTATATAAGAAAGGTATTAATGACCTGGATAACCAAGATGGTGCAGTCACTCACCTAGAGCCAGACATTCTGGAGTGTGAAGCCAAATGGGCCTTAGGAAGCATTACTACAAACAAAGCTAGTGGATGTGATGGAATTCCAGCTGAGCTATTTCAAATCCTAAAAGATGATACTCTTAAAGTGATGCCTTCAATATGTCAGCAAATTTGGAAGACTCAGCTCTGGCCACAAGACTGAAAAGGGTCAGTTTTCATTCCAATGCCAAAGAAAAGCAATGCCAAAGAATGTTGAAACTGCCACACAGTTGTGCTTATTTCATGTGCTAGCAAGTTAATGCTCACAATCCTTCAAGCTAGGCCTCAGCATTAACTATGTGAACCAAGAACTTCCAGATGTGCAAGCTGAATTTCAAAGTAAAGGAACCAAATATCAAATTGCCAACATTCATTGGATCAAAAAAAATGGAATTTCCAGAAAAACATCTGCTTCATGACTATGCTAAAGCCTTTGACTGTGTGAATCACAACAAATTGTGGAAAATTCTTAAAGAGATGGCAGTACCAGACCATCTTAGCTGTCTCCTGAGAAAACTTTATGCGGGTCCAGAAGCAAGAACTGGACACAGAACAATGGACTGCTTCAAACTTGGGAAAGGAGTACAGCAAGGCTGTGTGTTGTCACCCTATTTATTTAACGTCTATGAGAAATATAGCATGTGAAATGCCGGGCTGCAATCAAGATTGCCAAGGGGGGAAATACCAATAATCTCAGATAGGCAGAAAATACTCTCATGGCAAAAAGTTAAGAGGAACTAAACAGCTTCTTGATGAGGGTGAAAGAGGAAAGTGAAAAAGCTAACTGGAAACCCAACATTAAAAAAAAAACTAAAATCATGGCATCCAGTCCCATCGTTGTTATCATTGTTCAGTCACTAAGTCATATCAGACTCTTTTGCAACCCCATTGACTACAGCACATCAGGCTTTCCTGTCCTCCATCATCTCCCGCAGTTTGTTCAAATTCATGTCCATTGAGTCAGTGATTCTATCTAACCATCTCATGCCCTGCCATCCTCTTCTCCTTTAGCCTTCAATCTTTCCCAGCATCAGAGTGTTTTCCAACGAGTCAGCTCTTCACCTTAGGTGGCAAAGTACTGGAGTTTCACCTTCAACATAAGTCTTTCCAATGAATATTTAGGGTTGATTTCTTTTAAGATTTACTGGTTTGATTCTTCTTGTAGTGCAAGGGACTCTCAAAGATCTTCTCCAGCACCACAATTCAAAAGCATTAGTTATTCAGTGCTCAGCCTTCTTTATGGTTCAACTCTCACTTCTGCACATGACTACTAGAAAAGCCACAGGTTTGACTACAGGGACCTTTGTTGGCAAAGTGATGTCACTGCTTTTTAATAGGCTGTCTAGGTTTGTCCTTCCAAGGAACAAGTGTGTTTTAATTCCATGACTGCAGTCAATGTCAGCAGTGATTTTGGAGCCCAAAGGGGTAGAAAAAAATGTCACTGCTTCCACTTTTTCCCCTTCTATTTGCCAGTAAGTGTTGGGAACAGATACTATGATCTTAGTTTTTTGATGTTGAATTTTAAGCCAGCTTTTTCACTCTCCTTTTTCATCCTCAACAAGAGGCTCTTTAATTCCTCTTTACTATCTGCCATTAGAGAGATATCATCTGCATATCTGAGGTTGTGGACATTTCTCCCAGCAATCTTGATACCAGCCTGTATTAAATAGAGGCTGTATCAAATAGTCTGTATGGCAAATAGAAAAGGAAAAAAGTGGAAACAGTGAGAGATCTTATTTTCTTGGGCTCTAAAATCACTGCAGACAGTGACTGCAGCCATAAAACTAAGCAAAGGAGACACAGATGTAAAGAACAGACTTTTGGACTCAGTGGGAGAAGGCAAGGGTGGGATGATTTGAGAGAACAGCACTGAAACATGTACATTACCATATATAAAATAGATGACTAGTATAAATTTGATGCATGAAGCAGGGCACCCAAATTCAGTGCTCTGGGAAAACCCAGAGGGATAGGGTAGGGAGGGAGGAGGAAGGGGGTTTCAGGATGTGTGGGATGCATGTATACTTGTGACCAATTCACATTGATGTATGGCAAAAACCAACACAATATTGCAAAGTAATTATCCTCCAATTAAAATAAATTGATTTAAAAAAAAGACACTTGCTCCTTGGAAGAAAACTATGAAAAACCTAGATAGCTATTAAAAAGCAGAGACGTTACTTTGCAGACAAAGGTCCATATAGTAAAGCTATGATGTGAGTTGGTCCATAAAGAAAGCTGAGCACTGAAGATGCTTTTGAATGGTGTCACTGGAGAAAACTTTTGACAGTCCCTTTGACTGCAAGGAGATGCAACTAGTCAATCCTACAGGAAATCAACCCTGAATATTCACTAGAAGGACTGAATGCTGTGCTGAAGCTGAAGCTCCAGTACTTTGGCCACCTAATGTGAAGAGCCAAGTCATTGGAAAAGACGGATGCTGGGAAAGATTGAAGGCAAAATGAGAAGGGGCTGGCAGAGCATGAGGACCAGGAGGGAGGCTATCACAGTGGATTAGTTAAAATACACTGCTGATTTGAACTGGAGAAGTAGCAAAAGGAGTGGAACGAATTAGGAAATCTTAAATGCTATTAGGAAGCAGTCAAAGTTTAGTAACAAGTGAGAGGGGAATGAATAGGAATTGAAGGAAATGTGAGAGTTAAAGATATATAGGGCTTTGGTTTGATCTACTAAATGAGTGATGCTTTTGATGAAGACAGAAAACCCTGGAAGTTGGGGAAAGAAAATTGACTTTATTAATTTGGATTGCTATGAGTCTGTGTGCAGGTGAACATTGATTTTCATGCGTTTATAACTTTGAACATACTATGCACTCAACAAGTATGCATTAAAGATTTATTATTGACTAATAAACTTTGCCAATTTTTCAACTGTGTAGATCTTCAAAGTATGGGCTCCAGAGTGAGAAAATCCTAGGTTTGATTATCAACTTCACCTTAATACCATTATTTAATCTTTCTGAGGTCTAAATCCTCATTTAAAAGGGGACAGGAGGTTGAATAATAATACCCACAGGGAGTTGCTTAGAGGATTAAAAGAAATATAAAAGTGATATAACTGTATAAAATGTATACTGCAACTGCTAAAAAATGTTGCTTATTGTTATTACTACCAACAAGCAAAAATAAACTGCTAATAATAATAATTCACAGACTGTTTAAATATTAGTGATATTAACTGTTTACCTATAAACATTTTGCAACTTCTCCACTTACCACTAAAAGTCAACTTGATTTATAGTATCTTTTGTATTTATCAATCTTTTAAATTCTTTTTCTTCAAACTTCTCATCTTTTGTTTAAGAACTATCCTTTTGTTATACTAATATTCTCTTACATTTTCTTCTAACAGTTCTATTTTTAATATATTATTAACATAATACAATTTGTTTTTGTGCATTTTTTTCATATGCAGCAGAGAACTCACTTCCCACCATAAAGTTAGGTTAGGGTTAACTAGTTAACCTCCCCAGTTAATGTGTAATGCACTTAGTATTTTAAATGTCACTTTGTGATATATTAAATTTCTGTATGTAATAAGTTATTCATTTAAGTAATTGAAGAAAACTATACAAAGGTATTCACTACTACATGAAAAATAATGAAAACATAATGAAACACAATGTTTAACATAGTTAAACATAACGAAACATTGTAACTTTCTTGATATTCATTAATAAAAAACTAGTCAAATAAATTATGCTTTCCCCATATAATGCCATTAGGTAGATCTACATGTACTTACATGAGAAGAAATCCACAATATGTTGTTAAGCATAAAGTAAAACAAAAACAAAACATATACTGAAAACCATTATTTATAATATTGACTTATTTTAAGAAAAATGAAATAATAATTATAATAAATACATAGATATTTAAGTATGCACACGAAAAATCTTGGGAGCACAGTCACCAAAATTTAAAGTAGGGAAAGTAATTCATGGGAGACATGATACAATATGTACATAAGAATCTTTTTACACTATTTAATTTTTACAATACTTTTACATTGTTGGAACAGTTTGGCATCTAGTGTTTCTACAATCAGGAAGTCAAAGAAAAAATTATCTTTACCTGCAATGGCTTCATAGAGACCAGCTTTGTACCCTAGGTATTCATATTCCTCAAATCTCTGAGGCCCCTCACACAGGGCTCTGCACTCCATGTCTTCATTGAAATATTCTCTTAAAGCTTGTTCAAAGTACTTGATAGCTAGTTCAAAGTCATCAGCTTCATAATGCTTGACTCCTGCACTGTAACTCTCCTGTAAGGAAACAGAAAAAATAAATTTTTTAAGATCACCCAAGAAGAACTTGAATGGCAAGAGACAGGCAGATTCTAGATCACTTAGGAGGTGGGGCAGGGGACTCTTTCACTGTGGAAGATAAAGGGTCACACTGGGAGATAAAGGGTAACTGCGCTGGCTTCAGTTCAGTTCAGTTCAGTTCAGTTGCTGGCTTCAACTCATTATAAATGAGAAGGGATTGACCGAGTAAGCCTATTGCTGTGGCATCAATCAATTTCATTTTCTTCCTGAGATCACTCAAGACTTTGATTTCTAACCTGTTTGAATGTTGGTAGGGCTATGCAACCAAGTGCAGCAAGACTGATATGGATGGATGAGATGCTCATTTCCAAGCCTGGTTCAATTTTTTAAAAATGAGGAAAAAGGACTTCCATCTAAAACCTCCCTCTCTTTTCTTCAGTCCCTTGAAGGCCATACTTTGAGAATGGTGATTTCATTTAAAGGAATAATTGTATGCATGCATGCTCAGTCTCTGCATGGCCGAAAGCAAAGAGGTACTGAGGAGCCTCTTGATGAAAGTGAAAGAGGAGAGTGAAAAAGCTGGCTTAAAACCCAACATTCAAAAAACAAAGATCATGGCATCTGGTCCCATCACTTCATGGCAAATAGGTAAGGAAACAATGGAAACAGTGACAGACTTTGTTTTCTTGGGCTTCAAAAATCACTGCAGATAGTGACTGCAGCCATGAAATTAAAAGATGATTGCCTCTTAGAAGAGAAGCTATGACAAACCTAGAGAGCATTTTAAAAAGTAGAGACATTACTTTGCTGACAAAGGTTCATATAGTCAAAGCTATAGTCGTGTATGGATGTAAGAAGGCTGAACGCCAAAGAATTGATGCTTTTGAACTGTGGTGTTGGAGAAGAGTCTTGAGAGTCCCTTGGACTGTAAGGAGATCAAACCACTCAATCCTCAAGAAAATCAGTCCTGAATATTTATTGGAAGGACTGATGCTGAAACTGAAGCTCCAATACTTTGGCCACCTAATGCAAAGAGCTGACTCATTGGAAAAGACCCCAATGCTGGGAAAGATTGAGAGCGGGAGGAGAAGGGGACAACAGAGGATGAGACGGTTGGATGGCTCACTGGAAAAGACCCTGATGCTGTGAAAGATTGAAGGCGAGAGGAGAAGGGGGCAACAGAGGGTGAGATGGTTGGATGATGTCACTGACTCGATGGACATGAGTTTGAGCAGGCTCCAGTAGTTGGTGATGGATAAGGAAGCTTAGCATGCTGCAGTCCATGTGGTCACAAAGAGTTTGAAATGACTGAGTGACTGAACCGACTTGATGCTCAGTTGCTCAGTCCTGTCAGACTCCTTGTGACCCCATGAACTTTTCAAGCTCCCTTGTCCATAGAACTTTCCAGGCAAGAATACTAGAGAGGGCTGTCATTTCTTGGGGGATAAGAAATGTTCTTGGGGGATAAGAAATGTCCTTGGGGGATCTTCCTGACCCAGGAATTGAACCCACATCTCCTGCATTCACAGGAGACATGTGAATTCTGCATTCTTTGCCACTGAGCCTCCTGGGAAGGAATAATTGTGTAGCTTTGTTATTATTTTTCAGTCACTAAGTCATGTCCAACCTTTGGCAACCCCTGGAATGCAACATGCCAGGCTTCCCTGTTCTTCATTATCTCCCAGAGTTTGCTCAAACTCGTGTCCAGTGAGTCAGTGATGCCATCCAATCATCTCATCCTTTGTCATCTGCTTCTCCTCCTGCCCTCGATCTTTCCCAGCATCAGGATCTTTCCCAATGAGTCGGCTCTTTCCATCAGGTGACAAAAGTATTGGAGCTTCAGCTTCCTGCTTCCATTTCAGCTTTATGTAGTTTTTAAAAAATCAAAATTTGAAAAGTATGGGTGTCCTGGAAAAGCCAGTGAATTGGTTGCTGGGAAATCATGGGGTGACTTTGGGCAATTCACATGGGTTTCAACTTTAGTGGGTAGAATTAAAGTGCTGAGAGTGGGAGGCATAGGGGCATAGGGGAAGGCTGAGGCCCAGAAAGGGCTACACATATTTACTTCATGTCTTACTTTTCACCATATCATATTGCTTTTCTAAGTTAATTTTCATTTCTCTCTCAATATTTTTAACTCTGAACTACAATGTTTCATCTAGAGACTCTTAAAGTATAAAAATGATACTGTATTGGAAATTGAGAATCAATGTGAGATATCCACTCATAGGAATTTGCTCTGAACCCATTGAACCTTGGTAGCACTTAGCTCCTCGTGGTTAGTGCAGGACCCCCAAAACTCACCAGGTGTGGTCTGGCCTCCTGGTCTACCAGTTGGACGTCTTCAACGCCCGCCATCGTTCTGTAATTCTCAATGCTCTGCTGCATTTCCATGTGCTCGGGGTTGGCCATGAAAAATGTGTGTGCTGCTGCCGCTGCCTCTTCCATCTGGTTAAGCTATAAAGAGGGGGGAAAAAAGGACCAAATGAAGGCAAATATTTCTAAACCACATTCAGTACCAGTCCAAGGGTTCACAGACTGAAAGTTCCAGGGCTGGGTTCATTCCCTCCACCCAGTCTCCACACTAAAGGGCAGGAGGTTAATAAACAAGTGCTCCTCAAATGATATGTGGGTATGGGGATTTTGGCTATGGTGAAAATGGATAAATGTGCTTGGTTCTAAGTTTGTTCTCTTCTCCCTCAGTTTGAAGCCATCTGTGTTTCCTGGCAAATTGAATCTACATGCTTCCATTTGTTTTGTGATTGATCAAAATTAAAAACTGCCAATGCTGTGCCATGCCTGACTCACATTTTCAAAATTTTTGTCTTTTTTCTCTGAGTTTCTTTTTGTTCCTTTTGCCTTTAATCCTGACAATAGAAGAATAAACTGTGACTTTCTGAAGTATGAGATTGAGGATACGTCCCACTACACCAAGTTTGTTATAAAGGCTTTAGAATATGAAGAACACAGATTTTAAAAGAATTAGTTATTCCAATCCATACGAGATGCTAAATATAGTACAAAAAATGTACTACTATATTCCTTTGATTAAGAAATTGATTCCAAACTTACAACTTGGATTCTTATTAATACAAAAGGAAGGATTTTTAATAAAATACAAAGACACTATAAACCTTCTCTTAAACCACTTAATATGCTGTTACCCATGTAACATGCAATGATGCATTTTTTTTTACACAAAATGGAATTAAATTTACTTGGTTTAATACATTTTGTCCTATGTTTTCTCCATGGAGAATATCTATAGACAGAGTCTGGCCTCAATTCAGAAAAGTGAATATTCACACTCAGTTCAGTTTGGTTCAGTCTACACTAGCACTAGTCATTTTCACAATGAAATACAAATTACATTAAGTCTACTTTGAAGTGTAGAGAAAAGAAATTCACTGTTACGGAACAAGTAGATGTGGAATCATGGAAGACATAAAATATTCAACTGAGTTGGCTTTTGACAGTCTGGCCCTCAAGTATCTGTAAGAAACCCTGAGCTATTTCATGATATATAAAGAATCTTATCCATCACTATAGAAAATATAAACTGCTCTATTTTAAGATCGGGCATCCGTATCTTTGTTCCATAATATAAAACTTCCCTTTGTAATTTGCATATTCTTAGCTACCGCTCCTCCCTCCATTAAATCTTCCCTGATACCAGCTTTGCCTGCCACCTTCACCCTTGTTCTCACTTCTGTGGTTTCAATCATTATTTTTGCTGTCAAAAATCACTAATTTAGGATTTCTTGTTTCTTCATTAATTAAAATTTCCTCAATTACTCACACACCAACACATACAAATATGAATTATATGGACTCTACATAATGACAAATATATAGATACAGAGGAAGAGGAATAGGTTCTAAATTGGGTATATGTGTACACTGACTGAACAAATGAACCTGAAAAAAGCCATTTAAACATTTGTGTCTTGGTTCTACATCAAGAAACCCCCATAACACCACCTACTACATAGGATTTTGGAAGAATTTATTGATACTACATAGGACTTTGGAAGGATTTATTGATAGGCCTTCAGGAATCACTAAAACCTTGAAAAAATAAGTAACAGGATACAATTTATATATGATCTATTAATTTCAAGGATGTAAATATATTAATGCTGAGTATGTATAGTCTGCAACTGCCATAAAAGTATAATTTATGAGGATATAATAAGGTACCGGTGGTCAGTGAAAAGGCCTCCAGTTAAGAGTCTACTATAAGTTATGAACATAACAGGTTAGCATTGACACACTCTAGTTTTGTAACACCGGCCATTAACATTGAATGAACACAGATAAAGTTTTATGTATTTTTCACCTTCCTACCTTCATGTTTTGCTTAGACTGTAGCCTGATCTTGAGATCCTTTGTTGATTGGTCTTCTCTTATTGAAATCTAACATATCCTATAAAGGCAAGCTTAAATCCTGGCTTCTCTAAGAGATTCTTTTTCAACCTTAAAGCTATAGTCAAGCACTGCTTATAATCTTACCCTTATTGTTCCACTGACACTTAACAGACTTTGCTGTGCATGGCACTTAGTTGACTGTACTGGTTACTTCTAGTAAAGCTCTCTGAGGATAGGAAGCACAGGACTTGTTTATCTTTTTTTCCCATCTACTTTATAAATAGATGATGTCTATGATACGTCCAAGTAAAGATAAAAACAAGTTCTAAGAAGCAAATATTTACACACACATCAAAAGGTACATTACATATGAGTGTTCTTCATAGGCTATAATGGACTAAAAAGATGGAAGCTTAATAGCAAAATCTCTGAAGCTATTATTCACACTGAGAGCTTCCAATACTGATTATCACTGATGAATGTGATTCAATAGCTCTTGAAAATGGTCAGCCAACACTGACAAATTGGTTCCTTCTCTTAAATTTGACCACATTAGTCTTTTGCTTATTTGGTGCTTTCCCCATTTATAGCCCATTATTAAACATAATCCCATGTTCTCCAATATAAATATAAAGAAGATTCAATGACTTAAATTTAATCCATAAAACTGGCTTTTAAATTATTGTGAGCCGGTTCAGGAAACCAGCATTGCCTGCCAGAGACTATAAAACAGGCCATTATTTTAACTGGAAGCCTGATATCTGTGCACACCTTTTTAGAAATTAGACACACACCTAACACGGTAGAAAAAGTCCAGGTGAACATGTATATGCTACATATGCAGCTGCACTGTTAGATGGAGATTATTATAGGGTCTTATAAGTATTAGGTTTCAGCTAAGGAAGCCTCTACCCACTATTCCACTGAAACAAATAAGAAGCTAACTGCTTTTAAAGGCTTCAAACTGGATTTCCTTTAAGAACAAATTAAAATATACCCACAGGAGAGAGTAACTCTAATGCATTAGAAATATAAACTGTAAAATAAAGAACAGCTGGAGAAAAGAAAATGATTCAACAAGATGGTATGACAATTTTAAGGGACTTTGCTGCTCTACCATGATATGAGAAATACTGGTAAGAAATGCCTTTGAGAAGCACTGAGCCATTTCATCTCAGGCTATGAAGAGCTAAGGCAAACATTTTCTCCTGCCAGCCATGCTACATGGAAAAAACTAATTAAATCAACACCCTGCTGATGTTCGGAAGTTACTCTTTCCACTGGTGAGTGAATCAGACTCTTGCTGTTGTAGTTCAGTCACTAAGTTGTGTCTGATTCTTGTGACCTCATCGACTGCAGCACACCAGGATTCCTTGTCCTTCACTATCTCTGGGAGTTTGCTCAAACTCATGTCCATTGTGTTGGAATCAGACTCTGCTGACTCAAAAATGGTTTTTCACAACAAATAATAAAGGAGTATTTCAAAAATATACATTGACTACTGAAAAACCTTCAATAGCTATCCAGTGACCACCGAGGTAATTTCAGAAACTATGTTCCATGGCATTCAAGACACTGTAGGATTTGGTCCCTGCTCTATCTTTCTATTCCTATTCACCATTATGCAATTTCTCCCAGGAAATTTCTAGAAAAACTCCTAGAAATTTTATAATTTCCTGTCCTCTTATTCAAGAAAACACAGATAGACCCAGAACTCTAGCCATACCAAGTTTTTTATTTCACTCATTCATTTATTCAGCAAATATTTATCTTGCACTAAATCTATGCCAGGCACTGTGAAAGTCAATGAGAATAACTACACAGCCAAAACAGACAAAACCCCCACATTCCAGGTGCTTATGGTCTCATCCAAGGGGACAAGACTTAAGTAAATAAATCATTAATGGAAGTAAGTGTAGATTGCATTAAGTGCTAGGAGGAAATGAATGAACAGACAGTCCAGTACAAGCTGACTGGGTTGGCATAGGACTCCTTTAGATGAATTCGTCAAGGAAGGACTCTGCGATGGGATTTTTGAGCTGATACTTAAACGCTGAAAAGCCAGTAATGAGAAGAGGCGGAAGAGTGATTCAGGCCAAAGGAAATCAAGGGCAAGAGCCCTGAAATGGAAAGAGTCCTGACATGTTTCAAAAGCAGAGTGAAGACTAGGGAGAGTGATTTGGGAAGTCAGAGAACAGATGGCTTGTAGGCTATGGTAAAGAGTTTGAAAATGGCATCATCAACTCAAAGGACATGAGTTTGCACAAACTCCTAGAGATAGTGAATGATAGGGGAGCCGGACGTGCTGCAGTCCATGGTGTCACAAAGCGTCGGATACAAATGAAGGACTGAACAACAACAAAACTGAGTGCAAGAGGAAACCATTAAGGAATCTGAAGTAATACCTAATTCATATTTTCAAATGATAATTCAGATTGCTATGTGGAGAAAGATCTTGGGTAGCAGGCAGGAGAACATTTCAGTAATACAGATCAGAGGTAATGTTTTTACATAACAAAATACAAATAGGACAGCACAGGCTTGCCACCCCACTCCTCCTCTTCCACCCATCCCTCTTGCATTCCTTTCTTCTCCATTTTTGCCCATTCTTGACATAGCAATGTTTCTCAATTCAGAAAGCAGACGCATGGCCCAAGATGAAACAATTCTAATATTTTCAAACTTATTTTAGGGAAGATGCACAAATTTCTTCACTTCTGAATTAGCATAAATATGAAGCTCAAACATTTGGAATATGAGTTTAGAACAGCTTGTAAGACATGGGAAAGAAAGGAAAGGGATTGATTCTAAAGCACACTGAAACACGTTGAGAACACTGCGTACTTTTGAAACAGTATTTAAGATGATGTTGCATCTTCTGAAGGCTTTTTATACAGTCAGGGTAAAACATCAAACCTGAAATAAGTAATTTCAATTCTTGTATTCAAGCAACATTTTCAGTAAAGAAGGTAATTCTTTCTCTATTTTTATCACCCTAACTTTGGGAATTCACCTGATACCATGCATTACAGCTTGATGCAATGCTATTAAAATATATTTTTATCTTGGCTCTTTGCTTAAAATTTCAC